GTAAGACTTCCAAGTTAAAGAAAATAAGCAGTAAATAGGCATTTTTTTTCTTGTCTCTGATTGTAAAGAAAATGTTTTTAATACCAATGGGTCTGAGGATTGATTTAGATAGTATGATAAATACTTTTTACCAGGCTAACAAAGTTTCTCACTATTTCTGGTTTGCTGGTAGTATTTTTCACGGATGGACTTTATCAAATTCTTTTCCTATAATTATCGAGGTGACAATTTTTCTTCTTTAATCTGCTTAATGATGTGAATCAACATTAATAAAATTTCTTAATGTTAAACCAAACAGCATTCTTGGGATATACTGAGGTTAGTGAATTCAACTTGCCTTTTTAAGGTCTCCTGAACACCTATTCATAAATAAGACTGACTTTTATTTTCCTTTCTTGTTCTTGTCTAGTTCTGGCATCGTGGTTACACAAGCCTCATAAAATGAGTTAGGAAATGTTCTCCTTTTTCTATTTTCTAGAGGAGTTTGCAAAAGATTAGAACTATCTGTTCCATGAGTGATTGATAGCACTCTCCCAGAAAACTGTCTGAATCTCATGGGATTGTTTCTGTAATAGTTACAAGGCTATTTAACTTTTCTACTTCTTCTTTAGTCAAATTTGGAGTTATAGTCTTCTAGGAATTGGACTGTTTTGTCTAAGTTTTAAAATTTGTTGCAATAAAACTGCTCATACTATTCCTTTATTTTAAATCTCTGCTGCAGCTGTGATGTTATTTTCATTCCTAACATTAGCTCCTTCTCTCTTTTTTTGAATAATAAAGTGATTTGTCAACTGTACAAGTCTCCTCAAAGAATCAATTTTTAGTACATTCCTCTCTTAGCCCTTTTTCATTCATTTCTGTTCTGTTCTAACATCTACTATTACATAATATAATTGTATTGACTATTTTCTTATTCCTGTTTGAACTTACTCTGTTGTACTTTTCTGAAGCTTCTGCTTAGCTCAGGATTAAAGGTCTTTTGCTTCCTCTCTAATGTAAGCATCTGAATTATTTTCTAAGAGGATTTTCTGTCTTGAGGACACTTGGTTTTAGCACCCAGATCCCTAACCAGAGCCACCTAAATCAGTTTCCCACCCCTCAACCTTCTTTGGGAGATAAGGGAAAAGAGACTCGGCATTTTCCTAGACAGTGTATTATTTCATTCAAGGGATTGTCTGTATCATGGTTGGACTAGAATATGCTTAAATTGAAGTGAACATTTATATCATCCCCCTTCCCATCAAGTGGCTGGGCTTGAAAAACAAAATTAAGTACAGCAATCAATCAATCAATCAATCAATAAAATTTCTGTGGTAGTTAAATTCAATGACTTTACTATAACAATTAAATATAATCATTATGATTGTAACAATTCAAACTATTCAGTCAAGGACAACCATTACTTATTGTTTTCTAAAAGTATTCCTGGGCATAACTTTGAGATTCTCTTTCATCTTATTAACAGCAGCACCTTACACATGGTCAAGGGAACCCTGCCTGGCTCAGCCTGTTGTTTGAAGATGAGAGATCTTCCCTGAGGAAGGAATGTCCAGGCAGAAGTGGACTGGGTGAGGAAACTGGATGACATTAGGGGCTTCCAGGAGTTCAGGGGCCAGTGTGTGGGGAGTGATAGATGAGCTGCTCTTTCATTAAGCAGGCAGGGTCTCAAGGCCACAGGAAAAGGTAGCTGGACTTTGCATTTAGAACCACAGGAATACAAAGAGGGGCAGAAGAGGCGCCCTGGCAGGTTCATGATTCCCTTCACTTTACTGCATATTCTACATATGTGTTCTTGCAGGGACCCTAAAGTTCGGGGGAATTTCTTGCTGCCTGAAAACATCTTTTGTTTTTGTTTTGTGTTTTCTTTTCAAAGTAATCTACACAAACTTTGGGGCAGGGCTGGGGTTATGGCTCAGGGGTAGACTGCTGTCTGCTTAGCACTGCAAGGCCCTGGCTTTCATGCTCAGCACAACAAATGCAAAACAAAAAAAAATTCTGGACAAATGAGATATTTTCACTAACACTGTATCTTTGCAGGAAGACTTTAAGTACCTTGGGACAAGCTCCAAGAATCTTGCCAAGGAAGAAAACCACATTTAGCAGATGAGGTGAGAAGGGGAGCCTCTGATCCGAACAGATGGCTCTAAAGCACCTATATTCAATGGGCCCTACCCAACATAGGCAACAGTCCATGAGGAGGAATACTGTCCTGCACAGGTCTCCCCTGTCCTTATCCTCTGACTTGCTCATCCAACCTTCCACAAGTGGGAAAGCACTTCTTCTACTAAACTAATTAACAAGAATGATATTCATTTAATATTATAAAAGCAATTCAGGAGGAAGAAGGACAAGGGGGCATGTAAGTCAGAAGACATAGAAATTAGCAAGTATGTATGATAGGCAGGTCTAGAGAGCTAAGGTGTTATATGAAGACTGTAATTAATAAAATCTTACTGTACTGTATTAGGGATTTTTCCTAAAGGAGACTTTAGCTGCTCTTGCCACAAAAGGGTAACTACTTGTGATGATGGGTGTGTTAAGTGGCTTTATTATAATAATCATTTTATAATATATATGTATCCCATAATATAATTTATACCTTAAATATACATAATACAATTTATTTTTAATACAGCAATTAGCAGAGTTTTATTAAGTATTAATTAATGGTGCATAAATATCTTATCTTTCAAGTAGCTTTTTGAAAGCCTGGATGTCTTTCAGTCATTTCAATTATGATGTGTTCAGAAGCAAACCCATTATTGCACCCATAATGTGGGATAATCTATCTGTAATATGACTGGCTTAGCCTCCTCCTCCCCAAGTTAATGCATTAAAATACAAAAGCAAAGGTGCTGAGGATTTAGCTCAGTGGTTTCACCGCCTACTTTGCAAGCACAAAGACCAGAGTTCGATCCCCGGCACAAAAACAAAAAGCAAAGGTCAGGGGGATGGAGAGGATATCTGACATTAAAATAGGTTAAAAATATACAGATACACACATACATGATGATACCAATATATCACCAAATGCAATGTGCAAACCTGAATGGACACCATGTGCTAGAGATGGGGGCAGTTATAAGAGACATCTTGAGATAATTAGGGAAATTTGATTTTAAATGAATTATTAGTTTAGTCTTGAAGTATTGCTACTTTCCTTGGCATGAAATTTGCTGTTAGGTGGTAACACTGGAGTATCTTACTGCAGTCCTAACTTGAGGAGACATAGATTTAAGGTCACAGTGCCAAGTGGTGACCAACCTGCTTTTTAATTCTTAGCAAAGACTGAGGTAGGGGAGCAGATGCAGCTAGCTGCAGGCGAGTGGCCATCTGGGTAAAGATGTACAAGTGCCCACTGTACTAAACTTTCTGCTCTCATGTAGCTTTGAAGGTTTCCCAAACAGAAGAAAAATAACTGAGCACACAAAAAGCCATTGGGGCCTTTCAGAAAGAGAAATCTTAAGCCAGAGGGCCTCTCCAAAGCTATGGAACAGGTTAGGAGGACAGATAAGATCAAGTGCAGGCAGGTGTCAGGTGACAGCTTTGCTCACCCAGTGAGAGTGGGGAGACAGACCCTGAGGAAAGTGCTATTCCAGTCCATCAGAGACCAGGTAAGGTTGTGCCTGAGGCCTTACCAAGCTAAGGACATTGGGGCTCCATGAGGCTGGGTACTATCAGCTAAAAGGATACCAATCCACCTGCTAAGTCCTCAAGTATCTGCCCACAGCCACTGCTGCACTCTTCTTTCTGGCACCCTGGAATCACCTCTCCATCTTGCAATCACTTGTCTACTGAGGGAGAGGGCAGCCAGGGCAGCCTAACCACTTATGCCAGGAATCCAGCCTTCCTTAAGACAATTGTCAGCCTGAGGCACCTGCTCTGGTCACTTGCATCCCAAGCCCACTGTTTTGCTTCCCCTAATCCTGCCCCTTCTCCATACTCTGTGTCTTCTGTGACCTGGGTTGTTGCAAGAAAATTACATTCTTAAGACTGTACCAATGGAAGTTCTTATAAGGACTTTGAAAAAAACCTTTTTCCTTTACCTCATGAGCCTGGTATTCTACCACATTCATTTCTCTACCATGGAAGAGGTGGGAGTGAGTCTACAATGAAAACACAATTCTGGCTTTTCTAGAATTTACCAGATCTCTATGCAGTGCGGGGAAGGAGTATCTGTCACCTGCTTTGGCCCTCAGTGCTCTGTGTGGGCACTGTTCCCATTCACAGGTGGCCAGGGCTGTAACCTGCTGTCGATGGCTCATTTACCAGATAGCTCAGTCCTTTTCTGGAAGGATCCATGAGAAAATACTTCCTCATATGGTGTCTAAGCTTATCCTTGTGACTTCTGCCTAGTGCTGTTTTGGTCTATGGATCAAATGAAATTCTATTCTCCCCAGCAGCCTCTCCTAAAGCACCAGACTAAGGCAGGCATGGTGGTGCATGCCTATAATCCCAGCACTCAGGGAGGCTGAGGCAGGACAACCTCAAGTTCAAGCATACCCTGCCAGCCAACATAGCAAGACCTTATCTCAAAATTTAAAAAAGGGCTGGTGATGTAGCTCAGTGTGAAGACCCTTGGCTCAATCTCTAGTCAACAAAAATCACCAGACTGTCACCATCCATCTATTCCTTGCAGGAGTCCGCACAGTCATGAAGTGACTGACTCATTGGAGGTAGTTTGTGGGTTCCTAAAGACAGGGGCTGAACAACCTTAGTCCACTGTGGGAGGTGCAAGCATGCAGGGCACTTGTCACTGGAATGCACCACATGGTTTTTTATCCCAAACATGGTTCCCTTTCCAGAAGGGCTTCCACTGAGGTCCCCGTGGACAAAGTCCCACTGAAAGTACAAAATATCTGGGATGTAGGGTCAGTGTAGCCCAGGAAGTCTCCATTAGAGTAAGTACCTTTTGTCAATGGCATTTATCAAACACAAATAAAAAGAAAGACTGAGAGGACGAAGGTAGCTCTGGGTACAGTGTGAAGATAAAGGCTTACCTCCCCCTGGAAGCTCTTCAGCAGCGGCGCTACCTGCTTGCGCAAATCCTGGAGCAGGAGAGCGAGTCAGCAAATGGCCATTGGAGGAATAAAGAGAAGGGAAACATTGGTTAGGGCTTCCTAAGAATTGCTTGGGGTTCTGTGCTGGTTATTATTGCATAAAACTACCCTGGCTCCGCCTCCTGACCTTCACTCCTAAAACCATCAACAGTGCCAACTTCAGAATTCACACTGGCTTATGTAAGAGTACTAGATTTTATTTCTGCTAAGTCCTGGTTGGAATGTGCTAAGGACTAAAGTTTTTGCTGTTGGTCTAAGTGAGATCACTGACTTAGAATAAAATATAATGTAGGCTTGATGCTGTTTCTGAGATGGATCTGGGCCATGGTCCTGAATTTTAGCAGCTATTTTGTGCACTGTTAGTGGGAGATCCAGCTTGTTCTGAATCCATGTTTGATGTAGTTAGTCACTAGAAATTTTATCCCAAGCCACCAGTACTGTACCCACTTTGTAACATGGGGGCATCTTGTAGGTATGTCTTTACCTCTTCCACAGTATTTTATTTAAAATGAAGTAATTGGTAAAGTACTTTAAAAGGGCAATTTCTTTACTGACAGTTTTGACATAGAAGCCACATTTCTGAGCATAATCTATGTGTGGGATCAGAGTCATTAGGTCTGGGACTAAGACCAGGCAATAACAATTGTTTAAGTTCCAAAGCTTACTTTTATGTACAAACCCAAGGCTATACAATTAGACATGAGAGGAAAGATAAATTTGAATCAAGGCACAGTCTCATAAGATAGCCAGTAGGCCCCTTAGCTTTTGGGGTCATGAAGCTTTCTGAGAATCCAAGGAAAGCTACTATCTTATGCTCAGAAAGAACTATAAATTATTCCACTAGGGCCTCCCAAGGCTTACTCAGAGAGCCTAGTCTTAGACTATGTTGTCCTACAGGGGACCACCAAGCACACGTGGATATTTGTAGCTGAGACTTAATTAGAATGGAATAAAGTTGATGAATTCTGTCATACTAACCACATCTCAAGTGCTTAGTGGCCCTGTGAGGCTGATAGATCTTGAACATCTCCATCACAGGAACCCACTGGACAAGGATGTCCCATGAGCTTCTGTCAAACATAACACATGTTATTTTGAGTCACAACCGAGTGGGAACATTTCATCAAAGAAGTACTATAAGGGCTGTAGTGTATAGCTCACTTGCCTAGCATATGCAAGACTCTGGGTTCCATCCCCAGAAAAACCACAGACACACATCTATTATTTTCCTTTTCCTTTTTCATTTTCTAAAGAATGAATTATTAAATATGACACCATTATTTCCTTGGAAAACCCAAAAATTTGCTCTTCCACTGGATGGTTTTCTGTATTTCCACACCAAGTTTAAGGACAAAAAAAAAAAAAAAAAATCAAGACTCGTTACCAGTCCCAAATACGACCCCCTAAATATATCCATGTTGTGATGCCTGGAACCTGTGAATAAGTTAGATGATATGGTGGGAGGAATGGACTTTGTGGGTATGACTAAGTCAGGAGCTATGAGTCTGGGAGATGATCTGGGATTATCTGGTTGGGCACCATGTCATCACAATGTCCTTACAAGAAGGGAAAGGAGGACCAGAGTCAGGAAGGAGATTTGAGGATGGAAGCTGAGGTGGGGATGATGTTAGGACAATGGCCAGAGAATTTTGGCACCGGGAGAAGCTGGAAAAGACAGAGACAGATTCCCCCCATTCCCACTGCTTCTGCAAGTACAGCTCTGCCAAGCACCTTTGCGTGAGCCCAGTGGATCCCACTTTGGATCCCTGACCTCCAGCATTATCCCAGGATGGATTTCTGTCATTTGAAGCCACTAGGTAAATTACTACAGCTGCAGTAAGAAAGTAATACTTTCCTCTGGTTAGCTCTTTGTGATCTAAGACAGGCCTAAACCTAACACTGAAAAGGAAATGAGGGGAAAGAGGAACTGAAGGATGAAGAATGATGGGAGTAAGATTGTCTGAACCTAGTGAAGGCCTACGGCAAACCTATGCTTTAATCATGAAGAATAAGCACAATGTCTTTGTAAGGAACTTGGTCGCTACAAGCAATGATGCAGGAGGTATAAACACAGGTAGGTGTACTATGTGTGCCTTGTGTGCCCTCCATCCCAGGACCCTGCTTTTCTGTATTGATAGGTGGCCTCTGATGGCCCTTCAGTTACTGAAAGAGGGACCCAGGGCTCTAATGTGCCTAGATCTGGGTAGGGCAGAAGTGGAAGCAGCCAGGACTTACTATCTCAGGACATGCTTCTGGGCATTTCACTTTGAGCTCTATAGTTAGGCTGTGGTGACAATCAGGAGTTCATCCTCTTCCTGTCCATTCTGGAGATCTGGGAGGGCCAGGAAGGTGCTTTATCTGCAGCATCCAACATAGGGTTGGGCACTACTTTCCCAAGGACACTTGGGCACAGGACAGTTTACACCTCAAGAAGAATGGAAGCTGGTTCTATTCCACACAGGCCCCATGTTCCTTTGCCCAGAGGGACTACTTGGGACCTTTCTAGGTCATCCCATCCCACAGTAGTACAGCACCACACCTTACCATTGGTGAGGCTACAGGTATGGCCAGGGTTTGGAGCAAGGAATTCTGTGATTTGTGAACTGGGGGGCTTAGGGAGCAAAAAGACCAGCCTAAACCTTCAGTCTGGAACCCTTGCCCAGAGCACCAGTGGGCCTGGGTTATACCTCACAGAGCATTTTTCTGTCTTCTCCATGCCTACAGTGGGGCCTGGAACATAGGGGGACTCAATAAGCAAGAAATCAATGAATGAACAGGTAGATGAACAAACATCCTTCAAAAAGAGTTAAGAACCAGCAGACAGGAGATCAGTCCACCTGCAGAAGAGCCATTGGGGCTGGGCTCCTGGCTCCAAGGCAGCTCTATCCAACAAAAACACTGCCAACCACACACATGATATTTCTAGTAACTATATTAAAGACACAAACAGAAACATATGCATTATATTTTAATTTCATTTCATACCATACATAGCAGACACTATCCTTTCACATGTAATTAATAAGGTATTTTAAATTCTCTTTTTCCCTGTTAAGTCTCTGCAATCTGCTAAGTGTTTTATTTTACACTTAAGTACATCTCTGTTTTGACTGACCACAGGTTAAATGTTCTATAGCCATACATGGCAGACAGACACCATCCTGGTAATTCATAACTAAGAGATGCATTTGCAAATCAGGGGTATCCTAGCAGCAGGGATGATGGCCCAATGCCCTACCACAGGTCATGGGAGAGGAAAGAACAAGCATTGAGAGGGGTAGAAGAGAGCAGAAGGAATACAGGGCTATGCAAAGGGAAATTTACAGGGCAATGTATTGGATACAGCTATATCCAATGCTGGTCATGGAACTGAGGACCAGGTTAAGAATTGGATTTAGCCCCTGGGGAGCTCCTGGAAGCTCTAAATAGCTTTAGTAGGTCAAAGGGATAGGAACTAGCTACAGTAAGTATGTGGAAGGTTTTCAGAAATCAAAGCTGAGGAAAGGAGAGAGAGAAGATAGACAAGGTCCAGGAATGCCAAATAAGTGCTGGCAAATGAATGCTGCTATATGCTCAGCACAGATCCATTTCTTCAATACTCCTCAATATGAGAGACTGGCTCATTGTACAGATAAGGACAACTGAGGCTCAGGAAAGAAAAAGAACTTGTATAAGGTGACACAAATGGGAGAGTCAGGGTTTGTACCCAGCTCTCTCCCCAGGGCCCAGGCCACAGCCAGATGGTGTAAAAGACTCAATCACTGTGGCCAAGTGAGGGTGCAGGAATGATATACAGAGGCCACCCAGACAGCAACGTGGTAGCATGGGAACAAACCCATGTATTACTCTAGAGGCCCAAATTCAGAGGGGAAATGGTCAAGCTGGATGGAGTCTTGAAATGACAAGGGCAGAGGACCAAGAATTTGGGGCCACAAACTTACAAAGGAAGGACAGAGAGCTTGATGGAGATGTCTGTATCCAAGGCAAGGTAGGCCATCAACAATGCCTCCTACCAGGCTCCCTCCAACTCTGCCAGCCTGGCACAGGGCCAGCATCATGACAGCACCAGCTCTGAGGTGACAAATTTACTTCTCTACCCTATGTCAGAATTCCAGGAAGGCTGAAGCACTATGTTTCTCATATCCTTAAAGCAAGCAAACTCCTCTTAACCAACTTGCTGTAGTTTAAAAGTCATTTATTTGAGCACTGCATATGTCACAGTGGACCTACTGAAGCAAGCTTTTTGGTATTAAAGCAAGACGTGTCTCCACACACACACACACACGCGCGCACATATTTAAAGATCGCTGAGGAGAAAGAAACCACTATATATTCACACATCATACACAAACTGGCACATATGTGCTTCAAGTCACCAGCTAAAAGTCACTCGTTCTAATTTTACTTTTGGCAGTTTGAGAAATTCCTTATTCAATTCTGCTGTCTGCAAATATTATCTGGGTTTGTGCTAAATGAGGTGGGGGGGAAGGAAGGAGGGAAGGAGAGAGGGAGGGAGGGAGGGAGGAAGGGAGGGAGAGATCTCCAAAGATGCTCAATTCTAACTCATGGGACTCCTTGCTATTGGTTAGCACGTCATGACATGCTTTATTATCTTTGTACAGCAGAATGCCCTTGGCTGTCTAGCGGCCCAGGAAGCACAGGCTGCTGCTTCTTCTGGTCCTTGTGTCCATCCACATGCCCTTCGCCACCATTACCAGCTGAAGAAAGCAGGGTTCATCAGGCTGATGAAAAATCACACTGGAACAGGTGGTAATTAAGTAGCTAACACATTTGAAATCCTAACAATACTTTAAGGTTACACCCTTAATTCAGTTATAGGTTTTTCACTGATAGCAATTTTCTGCAATCCTACCATCCGCTTTTGTTGAACAAAAAGCAACAAACAACTTAATGTGTAGAAAGTGACGTCCTTGAGATTATTAATATCAGATGTCTATTGGCAAAAGCCATACTAGTTCATTTCAACC